TTTCATTTCTTTTTTGCCGTTTTACTTATGTAGTTTCATGGTAACAGGAATTTCGCTGGGTGTTGCCCGTAAAACGGTAATGCATTTCATTTAAATTTATTAAATATGAATATAAAAATTAAAATCCTCGTACGTGCTGGTAATGCGCTCCATTCGCCATGTTGGTGGCTGCTATCTACGGCTGTGGTCGCGCCTGCGGTTACCATTTAGATTTTATCATATGAAATAAATATTTTTTTTTTTTGCAAAAAATACTGTTATGGAGTTGGCTATATTATGAGATGTTGTCAACTCTCCAAGTCGGGATTTTTTGGGTGCAAAAAATCCATTTTTAATGAACTTTTGTTGGCTCATTTATGTTTTGATGGAGCACGAAATGTGATTATGAAAAATTGTAAGTATTTAATACTTGTAATGATTATAAAGAGTATTTATGGAATATTAAAAAAGGTAATAAAAATAAATAAAAGTCAAAGCGAGATCGGGCAGCTCCTAAGAGGATTGAACTTTGATTGAAAACAAACATAGACTAAACGTGTTTAGTAGACATTTGCTTTGATATTTATTGGTTTAGGAAGGCAGGATATCTACTTTTTCGGAACATGAAACACAGCAGCTATGTGCAGCTTATAGCACTTTTGAGAAAAGGAGAAAGGAATGGTAAGTGAAGGTTGTATATTAAATCGGATTAGTTTCCAGTTGAAGGATTTACATAAAGCAGTAAAAACCCCTTATGTGACAATTTTAATACTCCCTTGACTGATTGCAAAAGGATAGTTTGGAATGTCTTTTTTGAATTTCCTCATAAAATTCTATATAGACGTTCACACTAGATATATTCTCTTAATCACTCCAAAACCTCCCAGTTTCGCAGTCAGTTCAAATAATATCAGCCACTTTTAATTGCACGTCGAATGCATTTTGAGCCGGAAGTGATCGCTGCCCTTTTTTCTCGAGAATTATTATGGAAAGGAACATACAGTACGTTAAACTTAATTGCCTGCCGAGACAGCAATTTTCAGTTCAGTTCAGGTTTGTTTTATTGTTTTTTGTTCTTATAATTCTCCCTTGATTTGAGGACACTTTTACAATTGTCTTCGTGCAACAGCGAATTTAGGTCAATTTTAAATACAAAACAGTTAAAAGAAGTCACAACAATAAAAACAAACCTGCCGCCGCCTCTGCTCCAAACCATAATTTGCGCTACATTTAAGCAAATTAAGCCTCCACTTCGGCTCTATGGAAAATGAGTGAGCATGCCCGCGCTTCCTTTAACGCGAAAGTGGTTTGCCCGGGTTAAATGTTGTTATTGTTGTTGCTGTAGTTTTGGCGTGGCAATAAATGCAAAATATTGCACAATTATTTCCTACACAAGAGGAGCGGCAAAAACAAATATTAAATTGCCGCACAACAACCATTTTCGGCGCGAGTAACGGCACTGTGCGCATAATGGCGGCTGCAAGGCGCACTATTTGTCATAATAAAAACATTCGCACACAGCGACAGGCGCGCCACACAACAGAGAGAGAGCTTGGAGCCGTAGCTCAGGACACACAATATAGCAAACAGTTTGTTGGCTTTCTTTTGGTTCGGATTGGCGTGTCTACTTCAGCTCGTGCTACCCTGTGCTCCACTTGGTTTTAGTGTTGCTGTTGCTGATGCGTGGGCAGCGTTGTGACACATTTTATCATCATTAGCTGCCTTCCTGTTTGCCGCTTGTGCCATATTTATGTATCAGGGTATACGACAGTATGGCGTTGTCTCCGGACGCTTTAGTTTCTTCGCTTGCAATATCTGCCTATATGCACTGCTCGCTAAGTTGAGCTTTTGGCGCGCGCGCTAGGTTCAAGTCACTGAATGTCAGTAAGTTCGCACCGTTTATTGTTGCTTTTGCCGTTTTACTTTATAATAAATGAAAATTTATGCTACAAAGGCTTCATCATGGCCATCATCAACGTTTGTTTCATGCTTTTCCAAAAGATACTTCGGCGTCGACGCGGCAAAGTGGGTGCATGCACATTACATTGAGCTGAACTCGGTGGCAAAGAAAGCATTTAAAGTCACTTGATTGTGTCATGTTTCGGTGACTTAGTTTATTATATTAACCATAGTCAAATAGCAATATTTTTACACCTTTTTTGCACTTAATCAAAGAAAGTACGCTCAATTGTCAGTTTAATGTCAACGTTAAGCTTGCAACTTATATATTGAAATCAACATTTATTATTTTATTTAACTTTATTTTGTTTTATTGGGTTTAATTTAATTTTATTTTTATTTACTTTGTTTAATTTAATTTAATATAAGTTCATTTAACTTTATTTTATTAAATTTTGTTTTTTAAATTTAATTTTATGTAATCCAAAATAATTTATGTAATTTAGATTATTTTATTTCCTTATTTTGTTGTTTATTATTCATGTTTATATTACGCTGTTTTTAATTTATATAATTTAGTTTTATTTTTGTTTTAATTCATGTCAGTTGTTCTCCGCAACATACATATGCCGTACACTCCTAAGTATAAAACGTTTTACTCAACCACTTATTTTCATTTTAAGGTGAAAAACTCTTACTTTCCATAAGCTCACTTTCCCTCAATGGTTACAAGTTAATTCTTATCGTACAATTTCGTTTTGTCCCCTTTTGGGCAGGGCTCATAATCGATAATCGCCGCCTATAATTTGTCCTAAAAATTAATCTTTTTTGGCACAGATGGGTTGGTCCGTAAAGGTGAATGTTTACATATATATAAATGTTGCTGTTATATATATTATATATATTTAAAAATGTTGCCTACATTTAGGCCGATGTTGTATAGAAATTAGTGTTAAAATAAAACATCAATAAATGACGAGAAATTGTTTACGGCGTAATGTGAGTATATATGTATGAGTATATTTGTAGGAATTTATGCATACAGCTTGCAGGAATGTATAGAAAAGAGGTTTAAAACTTTGCGGTTTGTTTACGTTTTCAAGCCAAAGTTGTCAGTGTAGCTGTGTGCAGTTGACACACGACACCATGAGGGTAATGTACCCATTAAACATTCGGTATTTACGAGCGAAAAATAAAATAAAAAACAATAACCGAATTAAAAGGTAAAAAAAAAAAATTGAAAAACCGATAAATCGCTACGGCTTGAACGCGTGCACATGCGCGTGAGCATTTTTTAACAACCAAGTATTTGCGTATCTTTATGGCGACAAAAGCGGATTTGTATTGCACATACATTGCATACGTCTGTAGCTGCTCGTGTGGTGACAACAAAATAGTGCGATAAAATGTAAAATAGTATTGTAACATATGCTTTAGCTAAATAACCGTAAAAAATATGTGCGAAAAAGCTAATGGCAAAAATGGAAACCTGACATGTGCGCACAAATGCTGCTAGATGTGTATGTATATGGGAGGTAAACATAAACAAAACGGCTTGTGCAATCCGTCGAGATTTAATTTTTTTGCAAGTCTGGGCATTTTCTGTATTTGCTGATAGATTTAGACCTTCGAACACATATATGACTAATAAATAGTTGAGTAATTAAAATTGTTAATAATAGCTTTGAATTAATTTCGCATCTTTGCTTAATGCCAATAAGAATGTGGAGAACAAATACAAGACGCAGTGGGAAAAATGATTTTCTTTTTTAATTTATGTTTTTTGAGGCTAATACTGATTTCAAAGACATTTTTTTAAATATATATATGAAAAAATCACCAGCCGTTCGTATGAGGCTTAGTAAAAACCCTAGGTCCCTCCGATTGTTGGAAAAACACCAAGACGCAAAACCACAAATTGCTGCCGAACGCCATTTATATATTTATATTACATAAATTATTCATTTTTTGATTCAATACAGAAAAAATTATACCATATTTCGATAATTATAACAATGAAATTTTAAAAGGTATCTCTCTTGAATTATTATTTTTTTTATTCTTTTTAAGATTGAAAATATGAATGACTTTGTTTGTTAAATTGTGTTAAAAGCGTTAAGAACTTACTGTTTTCTTACTTCAGAATCGACTTTTCATATTGTTTTTATAATTTTGATTTATATACTTAAAAACATTTGCCACACAAATACGAGATGTGTTCAAAAAATATCGCGAATTTCGTGTTTTTTTTCAAAAATTATTTATTTATTTATGAAGATCTATTTTGTCCCTTTCAAAGTAATTCCCAGGAGGTATTATACACTTGTGCCAACGGGTTTTCCAATCTTCGAAGCACGTCAAAAAATCATTTTTTTATTTTATTCAGCTTCTCCTTCGATGCCGTCTTTATTTCGTCAATCGTAGCGTAACGTCGTCCTTTCATGGGCCTCTTCAGTTTAGGTAACAAGAAAAAGTCACAGGGGGCCAGATCAGGGGAGTACGGTGGCTGCGGCATCTTTAGTGTGTTGGTTTTGGCCAAAAAAGTCGCGCACAAGCTACGATGTGTGAGCAGGGGCGTTATCGTGGTGCAAAAGCCAATTTTTGTTCTTCTACAAATCCGGGCGTTTCTGGCGGATTGCTTAGCGCAAATTCCATATAACCTGCAGGTAATATTAATTATTGATCGTTCTACCCAGTGACAAGAACTGATGATGCACCACGCGCCTGCAATCAATTTTTTCGTCTGTTGTTGAAGTGCTCGGTCGTCCGTCACACTCTTCGTCGTTCACATCTTCTCGGCCTTCTGAGAACATTTTGTACCATCGTTCGCAAAGCATCCGCGCACTTAATTTCATTTTTCACACAAAATTTTATACAGGTTCTTTGATCCATTTTTTGGAATAAATAAAAATCGAAGTCCATTCAAAACACGTGCAAGCGAAGCAGCTGTCAACAATTAAGTGAACATTCAAAATGGCCGAGCTCGTCGGCATAAGTGACAGACACAAGTAACAATATAATGCCAAAAAAAAACCAAATTCGATTATACGTAACCCGCGAAAATTCAAAATTCGCGAAACTTTTTGAGCACACCTCGTAGTTTCTTAATAATTGGTACTTACCTCCACACGCTCCAAATACTCCTGAAATGCCGCATATGAGTCCTCACCATCGTCATCGGTCAGGTCGCGTACCACAGCCAAGTCGAGATTATCCAGAGTGGCGGCCAATTTGCGGCAGTTGTCTGCCACCGCATCGTTCGTCGCCGTGGTGTTATCAGCTGTCAAGGTTGTTGTTGTGTTGCCATTGCTGCCGCCTAAGCCGCTACCGCTGCCACTTCCGCATTTCGCACTGATACCAAAGCTATTGCTGCTGCTACGACGAGGCATAGTTGCATAACCGGTGCTACGGGCCGGACTTGCGCTGGCGGTTCTTCGGGCAGGTGTTGTTGTTGCTGCACTTTCTGTGTCAGCCGTCGACACTGATGGTGATGGAACAGCAACCACAGCCGCTGTTGTCGCTGTCACTTTGGCTGTCGTTGTGGCAGCTTCCGTTCTTCCATCGTTCGTACATTTATTGCTGCTGATAAGAGCAACAGTTGCTGCCGCCACTCTTTTATGTTCGCTATTAATTGCATTCGCTTTTGATTCATTGCTCGTTATTGTTGCTGCTGTTGTCATGTTTTTGTTACTTTTTTTATTCAGTGACTTAATGGAGTTGTCATGATTTCGCATTTGTTGCTCTGAGAATGGAGAACGAGAAGAAGAAGAAGAAAGAAACATTAGTAAAAAAATAATGATTGTAGAAGAAAAAGAACTTGCAAGTCATTAGGCAATTCTATGTATATGAGTGTAGATACGGGCAAGAAATTCTTGAAACGCCAAATACCAACGTATCTACAAATTTCTTGTCCTCATAAATCCTACTTTTGATCTGTCAACCGGCTGTAAGTTTTTTTTTCATTTTCTTTTTGTTTATAAATTTACTGAATATTTGTTTATCGTGCATTTTTCTTGTATTCAGATACCTATTTGCTTGCACAATAAACAAATAATGTATGCTCTCTTGCCGTTGGTTAAAACTCATAAATTGTACTTGCCACACCTGTCACCAGCCGCCAGCCACATTGTTGCATGCTACCACTATATAACTGTATATCCAAGCATACGCTGAGTGGTAGATAATAACTCTCATAACAATATACCACAAATATTTCTTATTAACAATTGCGTTGATTATGTTGACAATCTTGGTGAAATATGTATATCAGTGGTTGCAGGTGTGGATTAGCTAAGCAGAAGCATATAAAGAAATGCTCTTGAACATAGAGTGCAGTATACAGCACATAACAGATTTATGCTTAGCTCAGATTATACGAGTTATTTTATTCCAAGTTTGTTATTTATTGGAGTACTATTGCATTGTACTTTGAGTACTTGCAAACTTGCCTACATTTAGGCGGATGTTAAATTACTTTGGCTTAGAGTTCAACAGTTTATAGCTACAAAATGATTGGTAAAATAAATACTGTATACTGTAATACATCTAACACTAAATAAGTTTGTAAAATGTTTAAAAGATGTGAAGAGAAGGGATCGGTTACAGATATTGTATGGCCTCTGCGGATGAAAGGCAGCCGAAGACCCGAGTGTGCCTCTTTCTAGACGTTCTGAAGTGCTGGCAATTTCTTACAGCACATATGGCGAACTTATACCTATTTCCATATAAAGTCCATCTCATATAGCAACTAAAGCTGGCCGAATATTGATATACGTCGAAGCAACATTATCTCCAGCGACAAGATCTCGATAGGCAGGTTAATTAAGAAAAATGTCGCATTTGTGGTTCCAAGAATCATCAAATAATTAAAGAGAGGTTATTTTACATCAAAAAATCTTACTGCCTGGTACACTCTTTTCTGGCCCGGAGTTGTGATTGAACCTTACTACTTTGAAAACGGCAACGGCATGACTATCAGTCGTGTGATGACCGACTGTTTTTTGACCTACAATTGAAGAACACGGGATAATAAAGAGTTTTAACAAGATGGTCCTATGTGGCAAGCTGGAAAACCAACATTTATCGTGTCATGGGTGAGATACCGCCCAATATGTGCCAAGGAGTAGTCGAAAATCGCCTTAAACGGATCAAATTTTGCGAAAGTTCGCGAGGCAGTAAAAGTTCAAACTTTATAATAAAAAATGGAGTTTCGTAAAAATTGATATTCTAAATACATTTATTTGCGTTTATTATCGAAAACGCATAATGCATAATTAATAAATGTATCAGTAAATATCAACGCCTGGTATTTACTATGCTGATCCTTTAGAAGATTTCTTTTGCTAAACTCTTACCCTACAGAGTTGGCTCACATCCGAATTACCCTTTTATAATTCTAGAGATTCTGAAAACGTTTATCTCGAGTCATTGTCCCATAGTTTTACGGCATATATCCTAAGTGGATTATAACAACCGTAAGGTATGCCAATTCGCATTCGGTTTCCACAAATATCGTCCACTTCGGTCTTACTTTTGAGTCATCTTTACGCAACAAGTTTGTTTTTGGTTGGTTTTGCGCTTGTTGAGTTTGCTTAGTTTCCATATTTCAGCATTTTTTACTGGTTTTCATGAATACAAAAGAAACTCTAATATGAATATTTTAGCCACTTGTTGAGGACATCGTTAAAACTATTCCTAGCGAGGCCATTTCAAGTCTCATTAGCGAAAGAGGGAGAATACGGTTCGATGTTGATGAGTTAGTTAAGTAAATGAATCTTCGTAAAGGTTGTCAAATCTAAAATATTTATAATAGAAAATACAAAAAATATGTCGTACAACTTAAGTATATTCGTAAATATACTTATCACAATCTCAACGATGCTGCCAACACCAACGGAAGCCATGAACCAAAAACCAAAACCTTTGCCGTAAATATGAATGTGGAAGCAGACAAATCCCTTGCTTATCAGATTTACATTTACAAATGATTTATGTCTGAAACTGAACGAAGAAAGATTAAAGACAATAAAAAGGGAAAAGGACGAAGAAAAAAACCAGCAGCACCAGTTAAAGGCCAGAAGACACTTTGACCCATTAAATCAACAAAATTGTAAAATAAAAAATTAATAAAAAAAAATAATAAAGAAACGCAAAGATATTAAATTAAAGCAGAAATTTGAAGCAAGTAAATGCACAGACGCGACTGACGCCCCACTGAGAAGGAGAGTTCATATGTTGTCGGTGTTGTTACAATATTTTTTTTACTTATGTACGTATTTACATATATCTATGTAATGTCTTCGTGCTTGTATGTATCTCTGTTGAGCCTTGCAATTTTTTAGCTTTGATTTTATTGCGCATGCGTGCGTTCGATTAACTCTTGATTAAAACGAGTAGACAGAAGACAGTGGTACTCTGTTTTTGTTGCGATGATTCGCTGTTGGCATAAGACTTGGCCTGTCTGCCTGTAGCTGCGTCTCTGGTGCGCATTTCCCACCAATTGAGCATTTTTGCTGAGCCCACCACTGGCTGACCCTTCAATGAAATTCTGATGTGGTTGTTGTCGGGCCGTCAGCTCGTCGTTCATTGTTACACAATTCATTTTCCGACATCGTAAGTCACCAGACGCAACAAGCACACATTTTTCGATTACATATATGCTTATGTACATAAATTTGTAGGGCACATATGTATGTGCATGCATGCAGTAGTTAAAATATTTAAAATGTATTTATGCAATACATACATATATACGTATAGATAAACCAACATACTGAACGTCTCAAAATGCAGTATATACTTATGTACATATGTATGAATATTTCGTAAAATTTTTGCCTTTTCATTATTTTTTCCTCAACGTCAATTTAAATCGTTACGCTGCTTGGGAGGTCCGTTACTGTCTCGCGTCGGCCAGTTTGCGCTCGTCTTTCGCTTTTCTACAACGTACACTGACGTAGCACATACATGCTTTTATACGAATATTTTGGACATATTTTTATTTGCAATGGAAAGAAACGTAAACAATGAATTGCAGCAACATGTACAAGCTGCATGCATGTATTAGCACAATTGATTTCAGCGGGCAATTTCATGTTGTTTTCTATATTGTCGGAATTTCGGCGTTAGTTTTTGATAGTTTTACTCAAAGTATAATTAATTTTATGTTAATTAAATTTATAGTAATATCAAAAAAATTTTATTTCACTGTTATTGAATGAAACAAACCTAGCAAAAAAAAACTAAAACCAAAGAAAATAGAACCAAATAAATTAAGAAGCTTCATAAAACAAATTAAAATAAAAAATAAATAAAATTATATTAAATTATAAAAAAGTAAAAAAATATATAAGAAAAGTTAAAAAATAAAATAAATAACTTAATTAACAGTAATATGAATAAAGTAGTAAAACTTAATTACATTAATTTGAATAAAACTACACTAAATAAATTAAAGTCATATAAAATAATGAAAATAAAATGAAATTACAATGAAACAAGAAAAAAGAAATAATATAAAATGAATAAAATAAACATTATAAAATAAAATTAAATACACTAAAGCTGAATGAAACGAAATAAATTAATAAAATACAAAATAAAATAAAACACATAAATCAATATAAAACAAAATAAAATAAATTAATAGAAAAACTAAAATGAAGTTGAGTAAAAAAAAAATTAAATAAAACAAACTTATTGTTAAAATAAAATTAAGTATTATATAATCATACAAAATAAAAAAATTGAAGTAAAATATGAGATTAAAAATGGATTAAATCAAAGTAAAATACAATAAAATTAAATGAATAAAATAAAATAAAATATTTAAATATACTAAAACCAAAAAAGCGAATGAAAAATATAAAGTTAAAATAATATAATATATATATAAAAATATACAAATTTCAAAAATATTAAATTAATAAAAAGAAATAAAAAAACGAATAAAATATAATAAGAAAATTAAATTAGTTATGGGAAGATGGGAGATTAGCATAAATTAAGAAATATGTAATAAAATTCTATATAATGAAATAGGTAGGCAAAATAAAATAATTATAAATGGAATTAATGATTAAATTATAAGGAAAGATATTTAATGTGCATATCAAGACAAAATAAATTTCATATATTTACATAAAATTAAATTAATCAAATTGATTTGCAAAAATGGAAAAACTGGTACAATCAAATAAATTACGTTTAGTTAATTGAAATAAAAAATCAAGTGGCATAATGAAAAGAAATAAAAAATATATATGAATATAAAAAAGCAATATATCACAAATAGCTAATATAGGAAACTAGAGATACATATATAAAAAAGATATAAACATGTAAGCTTAACAAATATTTGGCGTAAAGAAATGGTCAATAAGATTTATGTACACATATATATAAAGGTATATATGCTTTATTATGTATTGATTGACTCATTTATCAAGAACAGTTTGGATTCGTCGTGGAGGCCAAAGCTGAAATTACATTTTAATTGCCTTGCAAATGTTTAAATTTCAATTACCGCAAAATCAAATACAGTAGGAGCATTTACCTACACGTACAATAGATGGCGTGCAGCATGATTTTTTCTTTTATTAATCATAAGTTTGTAGGTGCGTTTTTATTTATATTTCCACATAAAAAAATTTTGAATAATTTTTTTTACCAATGTGTGAGTCCAACGACACGATTTTCAAATTTACGCCAATATGATTGATGTTGTTGCCGCCTTGGAAAAAC